TATTCCTTGTGTTAGTTGGGCTTGTTGCTGATACTATGTTGACATGAATCATCTGTTAAGAGGGACTCTCAGATCCTGAAATGTTACAGGAAATGGACAAATGAGGAATCACATGCAGCCTAACCTTGCTAGCAGATCAGCTGACTTAGCAAATTGTGTTTTAAGCTAACAAACTTGAGGGGGTAGGATCCAGAGCTGTAACACCTACATATTCGTAACGAAAGGGTGGATGAGCACACCTATTAGAGTACTGAGGAATGCTCCCAAGCCCTTTACAAAGGCAAGAACCCTAAGTCCAACCATCTCAAATGCATATATGCTGATGCAGGTAGTCTGGACAGCAAAAAGAAGGAACTGAAGCTTGGTGCCCAGTCTGAGAGTTATGATATGGTTGAAATAGCAGAAACTTAGTGGGAAGTCTCACATGACTGGAGAACCACAATGGACTGCTATAAACTCTTTTGGAAATAGGAAGAAAGGAAAAGGAGGTGGATTTGCACTTTATAAAAAAAGAGAAATTTGAGTGTATGGAGGTAAGCTGTGGAGTTTGCAGAAGTTCCATCGTTTAGATGTTTAATCACCAAGGAGGATCTTGTTAGGTATCTGGTCCTGAACTTCCAACCAGGATGACAAGGCTGACGAAACCTTAATTTGGCTGCTCAAGGAAGTCTTGAGCTGACAGAACCTGCTCCTCATGGGTAACTTCGATTACCCAGACATTGTTGGGAAAACAACACAGTGGTGTACAAGTTGTCCATGAGATTCCTGGAGTGCATGAGGACTGCTTCCGGCTACAGGTGCTGGACCTGCCAACTAGGAACAGCACATTATTAGATATACTGCTCACAAACTGAAAAGACATGCTTGACAACGTAACTGCCAGTAATAGCCTTGTATACTGTTGAGTAGACTGATGACCAGTAGTAGGACAAAGGCTCTGGATCTTAGAAGAACCAGCTTCAGTATGTGTAGAGCCCAGATACAAGGGATTCCATGAGAAGCATACATGGAGGGCAGAGGAGCTTGTGAATGCTGGGAGTTATTAAAGAACAGCCTCCTGGAAGCACGAGAACAATCTGTCACTTACAAAGGGAAAGGTAGAAGGCAGAACAAGAGACCACTCATGCTTAACAATGAGCTTTTGGATGTGTTTAAAAGCAAAAAAGAAACATACCAGCTATGGAAAGGTGGCCAAATACCTGTTGTGGACTAGAAGAACATTATAGGGCATGTAGAGATCCAGACAGGAGGGTTAAGGCTCTGCTAGAACTGAAATTGGCCAGAGATGTCAAGAAGAAAGGGTTCTTCAGATACATGAGCAGCTAAGACAGAAGCACAGGGAACACATAGGACCATTACTAAACAGGGCAGGGAAACAAGTTATAAATAATGCTGACAAGGCAGTGGTTTTCAATACCTTCTTTGCATCTGTCTCTACTGGTGCAGCTGGACCCCAGATCAGAGAATCAGGTAGCTACAACAATGCACATGTTGACCCACTAGTAGTGGCCCTCTGCAAGTGCTCAACCCATATAAATCAATGGGCCCTGAGGGAATCCACCCCAGGGTGTTCATGGAAGTGGCTGACATAGTTACAAGACCACTGTCTATTATCTCTGAAAAGTCATGGAGATCAGGGGGCATCCTTGATGACTGGAAGATCGCAGTTCTCATACCCATCTACAAGAATGGCCCAAAAGAGGGCCAGGAAACTACAGGGCCGTTACCCTTACTTCAGTCCCTGGGAAAGTGGTGGAAGAGTCCTCCTAGAAACTATTACAGACCAAATTAAGCAGGTGATTGGGAAAATCCAAAAGATTTACCAAAGGCAAATTATGCCAGGCTAATCTGATCACCTTGTACAACAAAATACCATCTTCTGTTGACATGGAGAGAGCAGTGGATGTTGCTTACCTGGACTTCAGCAAAATGTTCAACACTGTTTCCCGCAGCCTTCTTCTGGTCAAACTGTCAAGATACAGATTGGATGGGTGGTCCGTGAGATGTCAGAAAATTGTCTCACAGGCTGCACTCAGAAAGTGGTGATCAGTGGTTACTCAGTGATTACTCAGGCTGGCAGCCTGTCACAAGTGGGGTCCCCCAGGGATCAATGCTGGGCCCCACACTGTTCAACATTTTCATAAATGATCTGGACAATGGGACTGAAAGTTTGCCAGTGTCACTAAATTGGGTGACGATGTGAACACATCAGAGGGGAGAGCCATCTTTTAGAAACCTGGACCAGGTGGAAGAGTGGGCTAGCAAAAACTGTATGAAGTTTAACAAGGACAAGTGGAAAGTCCTGCATCGGGGCTGATATAACCAAAGAGCCCAGCACAGGCCAGGATCTGTATGGCTGGGGAGCTGCCTTGCTGAGAGGGACCTGGACTGAACCATGGTGGACAACAAACTGAACATGAGTCAGCAGTGCACCACTGCAGCTCAAGGCAGACTGGGTCCTGAGCTGCATCCTGTGGTGCTGGGACCCGAGACCATACCGCTGTTGTCCCTCCCCCACCCACGGACCAGATGGGGCAGGGAGTGAGATACAAACCCTGGGGTTGAGATAAGGAAAAATTTAATACAACAGTTAACAAATAATAAACCAAACAACAACAATAGCAATAACAGTAACAATAAACAGTAATAATAATGAACAGGACAAGAGATATACAGAGATATACCACAAGGATACAGCAGTGAAGGGTAGCAACAACGAACAAAAGCCGTCCCTGCTCTTCCCTTGCTTGGGCACCTGGACCTGACGTCAGCATGGTATTGAATAACCCAGCTAGAGCTCCCTCCCCACTGCTGGGGAAACTTAACCCTATCCTAGCTGAACCAGGACACATCCTCAGGGGCATTACTAGCAGAAAGAGATCTGATCATCTCACTCTACTCAGCGCTTATCTCGCTGCACCTGGAGTACTGGGTCCAGTTCTGGGCCCCACAAATGAAAAAAAGACATGGACAGACTGGAGAGCGTTCAAAGGAGGGGAATGAAGATGATCAGAGACCTGGAGAACCTGCCATGTGACGAAAGACTGAAGGAATTAGGTGTTTTCAGCCTATAGAAGAGAAGTTTCAGGGGAGACCTCATCACAGTTTTCCAGTACTTAAAGGGTAGCTACAGAGATGATGGAGGCTCTCTCCTCACAAGGGGCAATATGTACAAGTTGCATCGGGAGAGGTTTCATCTTGATATAAGGAAGAACTGTTTTTACAGTGAGAACACTCAATCACTGGAACAGCCTCCCTGGGATATAGTAGAATCCCTGTCACTGGAGTTTTTCAAGATGCAGTGGGACAGGGTGCTAGATAATCTCATCTAGGCTTCCTTTCCCTTGAAAGCTTGGACCAGATGGTGTCTAGAGGTCCCTTCCAGCCTGGGGTATTCTGTGGTTCTCTTGGCCCCACAGAGAAACCATTTCTTGTTGATAACTTTTCAATTTAATTTATAATATAACAATCTTGTTTATAACTTACACTGCTCAGCACTGTGAAGTGCTTTTTAAAAAAGTTTGAAGTCTATAGGGTGGATGGTGGAATGCTCTCAAAATCTAGGGACAGGCATAGGTGATAACTTATATAAAGCTGTCTTTATGAATTTCAGGTGTAACAGTGATCGCTTTAGTTTCTGCCTTGTAAAACATTCATTACTGTTACATCTGGGAGACTGCTGTATGTATATGTGTATTTCACTGATCAGTATCAACAGAAAAATAAACCCAACTCTGGGTGTTACACAGACACCCAGTGTTTATTCCCCTGAGCAAAGGTCTGGAAGAATACATAGGTCTTAAGTGGAGAGAATCACAGATGTTTTTTGACCTAACAGCACCATTTCTCTGCACCCTGAAAAATCCAAACTCAGAATTCAAATACCTCAAGTGTCTAGGTATGCAATGGCTGACAGCTTCAATTAAACTGGATGCTGTGGCTAAGCACATGTTACTTCTTAAGTGGCAAACTCATTTTGAGAAATTGCTTACCCCTGCCTTCTTGGGCCTGTCCCAATACACTGTATCGATGCCTCCTTACCTATTTTGAGATTGTGTGTGAGCAAGCTGTAAGTTAATCACATGTATCCCTGTATGTATGCTGAGGTGTTTGTGGAAGAAAGAGGAATAAGATACTGTTTTGTGCCCTAATCTTTTACTTTCTAAGGCTTTCCAGTATCCTTCAGTGTACCCTGAAGCAACAGTTAGCCACTGGTTAGGAAAGTCTAATAGTAAAGTATCAGTGATATGTGTTATCAGTTTGATTTGCTGTTGCTGAGCAGAAAGCAGTTTTATTTTTATAGGAGGATGATTAAATGCAGGCTAGAAGGATGCATGTTTTTGAGAACTCTAGGAACAAGTCGGTCATTTCTAATGTAAATCTCAAGAATAAAGAAAATCAATGATGCTTGCATTAGCTGATGTAAGCCTCAGTTGCAAAGGTTACAAGATACATTTTGACCTTTTAAAAGCACGATAAGAAAATGTAGCTTTAAATGGGATTCCCAGATTTTGCTTTAATCCTGTAGTTAATAATCCTTGTGTATGTTTCTACTGCAAGGCAAGCTGCTGTAGTTTTACCTGCTAGATATTACAATGAAAAATATCTTAATTTACTTAATTTCAGTCACTCTGCTAATCCTTTGTCTTTGCTTCCTGCTTTGAAATGCTAAAATGCTTGGACAGATTTTAGTCCTCTAGTAAATTACAACCTATGAATATTTTGATCCCATGAATGAAAAGGAAGACATTGTAGTAAAATTACAGTGTTAACTTACTATAAAAAAAAAGCTTTAAAATTGCATTTAGCTGAAGAGCGTTGTGTACAAATTCAGACAGTCAAGTAAGGTGTGATGGCTGTAAAAAAAAGAAAATTCCTCTTACAGGTAAGAGCATTGGGTTTGGGATGTTACATTAAGGGAACACCATGAAAAATCACTCTGTGCAGCTAATGTAAAAATTGAGAAATCACCTGTTAACAGCAAGAATTTTTTGTTCCAGGACACAGGTACAGAGACATCTTCAGTTTGCAGCTGAAGGGCTGGTCTGGGTCCAGAGTTCTTCAGTTCTGAACAAAGGCCAGGTTCAGCAAACCAGAATTTTGTGCACCTGCCATTCTAAGCAGCACTGTTAGGAACATCCTCAAATCCAAGTTTACTTTAAAATTCCATTTGTTTACTTTTGCCTAAATCTTTTAACCCAGATAATAACCTAAGAAGTGTAGCTTTTATGAATAAAATATGACTAACCATGATCTGCACTGAGCAGCAAGTATAAGCCAATCTAAATTATTTCCAAATATTCTAGTACTATACAATGAGAAACAAATACTGAATATTCTGTAAAAATAATTAGAATTTTTAATTAAATATTGCAGAAAGATAGAAACATATATAAAATAGTTGGAAATTTGAAATGTTTCTCTGCAGAGAATTAAAACATTAAAAGGTTCTTGCTTTTATGAATATGTAATACAGTGATAGATCAGATACTTAGAAGCAAAAGATGACGTCTGAGATAAACAGATGGTGTCCTGTACATAAGCCAGTAACAGAGAAGGTAACACTCTTCTATTTACCACTTTGATGTAGAAATCTACAAAACAACAGAGTAAACTAGTTTTCTTTTTCCTCTGGGGATAAACTTTTTTTCTTTTTAAAATTCCCCTGAAGCCCTGTTTATTGGTGTCAGTTCAGACACCATCAGCTGATATATAAGGAGAAAAGCATTAAATGTCAGCAACCGCTGTTGAACACAGAAGTCTACTGTATTCTATGGAACGTGATTAGTAGGAAATACAAGCCCAGTCCTGTGAAAGTTTCTTAGGAGAGATCAGCAAGTGCAACCAATCCTGAAGACCTTAGTCCAGTGTTACTAAGGACTGGTACCTAAAATGAAGGAACCTTAAAAGTGATAATTTCACTTAGAAAATAAGGAGTAATTTGAAATCACCTTGTTCCTTCTGTTCTGCAATGAAGTCCCAAATACTTTGATTGAGCTTTCTGTCCCTGATGTGCAATTATGAACTACCCCACTCTGTTTTCTTAGCCTGAAACAACTTACAAAGGTAGCTGACATTACTTTGTCAAAGTATAATATCAGTAAAATCAGAGTAGTAAGGCTTAAGAGTTACTTTAATTAGTTCATTGCCAGTAGGCTTGATTTCCTTTATAATGGAACAAAAATATGCATGGAAATAGCACAGTGGCAAACATGTCATGATGCTGTACATCTTAAGTCATCTGGTGGTAAATTTAGGATTTAAATAAATAAATAATAGTATTTTGCTTGAAGAATACTCCTGTATATTTAACTATAATAAAAGATTCCTAAGTAGTATAGAAATTGTTATGTGGTAATATAACATTGCCTCCTGTTGTTGAAAGAAGGGCTCACAAAATTGGTATATAATTTAGAAGTCACTAATGCCAAAGATATGGTTGCAAGGGATTGATAAGGGCTTCAGTAAAATAAAAGAATCGAATAACAGCAGTGATGAACAAGCCCAGCATATTTAGAGTCTGGTTAGTGTAGCTATGATTTGTGTCAGATGAATTGTGTAGATAATCATATTACATTTAGAATTACTTACATTGTGGTTTATGTCAAAATGCCAATTTTATTATAGGATTTTGAAGTCTTAAAACATTGCTGGAGATTAATTTTTTATTTCAGAGCTGCTGTAGATGCAAAGATAAGCAGATTTCCAAATACCAGTCTATAAAATGCCTGTTTAGAAACTTGTCAGAATTGGCTGACTCTTTTTACTCTTCAGTGCTCTTCTCCTTTTCTTCTGTTCTCACTCCCATAGTTCTGTATTAAAGCCTGTCTCTTTGGGCATTTCCTACTTCATATTCAAACCCTTCTGACTGCCAGGTTACTGTCTAACTTCTCATCTTCATTGTTCCTTTCTGTTACAAATATTTTTACCCCTTCAGCTATTTTCAGTTTAGCATCCTAAGCTCTCTCTTCTAGTACAAACTCTTCTTTCAGAGAAGAAAATTACCACCTGGCTCTGACAGAATGAAGCATCCCAGTCAAACACAACTTTGGCTAGAGGATTGTACTTCCACTATAACTCCTTGATTAGGTGTTTGTTTTTCATTCAGAAATATTTGCTTCTCAGTCTTTCATAGTATTGATTCAATTCTAATCACATTGCAGTTTTCTTCAGGGTGCTGTTGTGGAGTAATAACAGTGCAGCTGAAATTAAAGCAGGCAGGATATGTGTGAAAAGAAGCTATAAAAAGTGTACAGTCACACTGTGCTGCATACTTCAATATGTTGCTGTCTTTCTGGATGCTTCAGTTTCTCTGCCTCACCATTTCCTCTGAACACACTGATGGAAAAACATGGTAGATTGACCTTTAATTCTGGGGCTATGAGAAGGGAATTCAGGCCTCACCACTTACAGACATCCCTTCTTTCTCCAGAGAGCCGAATAATCCTTAAAATGTTAATGTGCACATACTGGAACCAATGAAGTGCTTTCCTCAAAGTAGAACCCTGTTTCATTAGGGCTGAAGGAGGTAAACCTACATGTTTTATGCAGTGAGGTAACTGCTCCTTTCCTGTTATCTATCTTATCCCTCTATCCACCCGTGCATGGTCTTAAAAAGGAGAGGAAAAAGAGGCTTATGTCTCTGATAAAACTGAAACCTAGTGTGGTATGAAACAAAAACCAAACACCTGAATGTAGTTTGGCAGAGGTGTTCTTGTGGAAGCAATGTTACATAGGAAGCAAAGTAACAGCAACATTTCAGTCACCTTTGCATGAAAATCAGACACAGGAATTTACGTGCTTGATTAGATTAAAAAGGTGCAAGACATTTCAGATTACATTACCTGAGTAAGCCATGTGCTAAAGTGCCAGCATGTATGGTCGCTAAACTGCACGTTCTCATGCCCAGGGCTTTTAATGCTCCATAGGAGGAAATCAATCAGCTCAAAAACAAATTCATGAGAAGAGAACTGAAGCACAAAAATGCTCTAATACAAAAAGCCTCAAGTAGGCTCAAACATTGTAAATCAGTTGTGTACCCAGTGTGAGACATCTCAAACATTCATTACAGGAATGCAACCTGTAGTGTCATTTGTTCATTATATATCATTTCAGACTCAATTGCTATGGCAAAACACAATCTCTGCCACTAAATAATGTTTCTTGTCAAGAAAAGATTCCATTCTTAGGCAATGAAAGTAACTCAAAAATTGTGCAGTGGTTACAGAGTTTTAGAGGATCATGTGCTGCACCTTGAAATAGATGGGAGGTTTTTTCCAGAATAATTTGCACAGAACTGGACTGTACGTGACACACGTATGAACATCTGAAAATCCCACCTCCTTAAAATGGTAGCAGTACTATGAATAGGATTTCTGTGACTGGCTCACATCGTTAGAAGTTGGTATGAGTTTTGATCATGTCAGTTTTCTCCAACTCTGCTAAGCAAATTTTGGGGATGTTTTTTCCATTGCTGATCCCTTTGAAATGCTTTGGGAGGGTCAGAGTAGTCATAATTGCCTTATGTAATTAGTGGAATAGCATAAAGCTAGCATCAGCAATACTGCTAGTCTCCTTGGAGTGAAAAGTAGCGATAAGGCCAGAGGGTCTGAAGTTGTGTTGTCATTCAGATCTGAGCTTTCAGCCAGGAACTAGATGGTGCTAATGAAGATTTTGACTAATTCACCTTGGCTTGGTAAAACATTATTTTGTTTATCTGTACTAGCATTTTTCAACTTTTTTTGCCAAACATTCTTAAAAAAAAAAAATCCTTGTTAGCCTTATGTCATGTTCTTTTTAAAATACCATTTCTTTAATTTTACTCATATAACAATTTCATTTTACATATTAAAATGTTCTGTGTCCTGTAAGTATCTACATCATATTTTACTCCCTTAGCACATTCAGATGCTAATATGGCAGTAGATAGACTTGTATTGCCAGACCACAGCTATCTAGAGGTGGACAACAGCCTCTGAGAAATCGGCACTGTGCTCAATACTGTCAGTGATTGTGAACACCCTAACACTGGTGCACAATACAGTAACAGCTTTAAAGGTTGCCACAGAATGATATTGATATATCATTCTTTAAGGTTCAAAGTCTAGTGCTAGAAGACAGAACTAAAATGTTGATTTAAATCTACTGGTTATCTTTTTCTAAGATAAGCTTTACAGGTGCCTCTGGAGGTTTTTTCTTGTTCATAATCAAGATTAGATTTTTTTTTTGAACTAGTTAAAGGTTAGTTAAATGCTTGTATCGAAAAGTATAGTTTAAAGGTGACTCTGGTGGTTTAGGCCCTGCCAGCATCCAAGACCACGCTGCCGTTGTCCCTTCCCCACCCTCAGACCTGATGGGGCAGAGAGTGAGATACAAACCCTGGGGCTCAGATGAGGAAAAATTTAATACAACACTGTGACAATTAATAAACCGAACAACTATAACAATAAGCAGTAATAACAGTAATCAGGACAAAAGATATACAGAGATACACCAACAGGATAGAGCAGCCCTGTCGCGGGTACTCTCTGGGACAAAATCCACACAGAAACCGTTCCTTCCATTGGGCGCCTGGACCTGATCTCAGCATGGTATCAAATTACCCAGCTCCCTCACCACTGCTGGGGAATCTTAACCCTATCCTAGCTGAACCAGGACAGTGACCTTAAAAATCTCTTTAATAAATGGGAATATAGGCCTTCATTATATTTTTTTATAAGGTTTTAGAATGAGGTCATTACAGATGTCTTTGATTTTGTTTTGTGCCCTGCTCCATGTTGGATACATTAGCTGAGATATTCAATTTACTGCAATATTGTGTTCAGCAGTCAGTTTATTCTTAGTCTGAGTTGTAGTAATAAGGTGTTCAGTAAAGAATAGTTTCTCTTCAATTCATCTTTGACTCTGTAGAGATGATAAGAAGTGATCAGCTATCTGCATTATGTAACCACTGCTTCTGTAGAAGTTGTTGTAGAAAACTCTTAATTCATTAACATTATTAAGTTTGTGGGGTTTTTTTGTAAAATACAATGATTGCTGTGACATTGATTAGAGCATTAGTTGTGCCTAGAAGTGTTTGGATATGTGTGATTTTTTAAGCTGGGAAAGGGTATCATGCAGAAGTTAACAGGACTTTTATATGTGACGTACAAAGACTGCCATTTTGCCCGTAACACTTTTAAGTAACAAATGCCCCAGTCAGTTCTGCAAGGTAATAAAAGCTGTTGTGAACTGCTGAGTGCTCTCAGTTTGGACTGTCTTCTCTGATGTCCAGAGTGTTCAGCATTTTGAAGCAACAGCTGTATCTGTTTCATGTAATGAAGTGT